TATATATATATATATATATATATATATATATATATATATATATATATATATATTTTTTTTTATTTTTTTTTTTTTTTTTTTATTTATATATATATATATATATATATATATATATATATATATATATATATATATATATATATATATATATATATATAAGCAAACAACAAACAAACGAGCAAAACAAACAACTAAAATTAAATAAAAATAAAAATAAAACTGCTCCTCTTTTTGTTCAAATATGGTAATCTATTCAAACATGACAATTATAATCATACTGAGTACTAGGCACAGCAAATATATATAAAATAATGTATCAATGCAAAACTATAAAGCTGGAACTGCATTATCCATCAAAAATTATTCATGAACTTCTTCCTCTGTTAACAAATCAGATTTATTAATCACATATAATTATTAAAATAATGTTTTGGTCATTGAACATCTTTAGAAGTAGAAAGATAATACATTTAAATTAATGCAAAATATTGCGATATACAAACTACAAAATTGTATATATATTTGATTTTTACTCTTTTTTTTTTTAAATTTGTATTGAATATTTTTCCCTATCATATACATTTGGGCTACTCATTTTTGGACAGTTTTCATGAGTTATTTTGTTAAATTAGATCCAAATTTTGGTTCAGTTCTAACTAATCTAATCACCCCCCACATATCTCTCATTTAGATTCATATTTTCTATAGGATGCTTTACAATATTATATTTGTGCGTATACATTAGATTAGAACTGAGGCCAAATCTGGAGCTAATCTAACAAAATAACTTACAATAATGGTTCAAAAATTAGTAGCCCAAATGTATATGTTAGGGAAAAATATTAAATACAAATTATATATATAAAAGAGTAAGAATCATATATATATACAATTTTGTAGTTTGTATATCGCAATATTTTGCATTAATTGAAATGTATTATCTTTCTACTTCTAAAGATGTTCAATGTCCAACACATTATTTTAATAATTATATGTGATTA